GGGGGGGGGGCAACGCCGTCCACTGCGTCTTCACGGGGTTTTCGCCTTTGGCAAGATTGTGGAGGGTGTTGGGGGGAGGGGAAAGAATCGAAATGGTCAGTCACAAAGGAAAAATCATGTGAAGCACAGATGTATGTATCACTTGGAGCGTAGTCATTATTCAAATTTGAAAAGATAATCGTGTCATTACACGCTGTTTTTGGATGTCGGGTGTGATCTACGAACAAGCAGGCGTGAATGCCGTTGTCAAAAGGTAGTCAAGAATTTTTTAAATATTGATTTTAAATACAAAACCTACGTAGTACCATGTAAAAGCCTCACTGCGCCACAGAAAAAGAAACTCCAGTATTGCTGCAGCAGATTACTGGGTACGTGACCACGCCTATCCATGGAAGCGAAGAATGCGTTGGAATTTCCAACACACTGAAATGTTTGAGAACCCCTACGCATGCACCTAAGTGCGACATGCGTAGCTAAAGCACCGCCTGCCTTCCTATTCTTGCCAAGAATTTGCTTCGTGTCGCTCCCGCCTCGTCAACACAGGAGGGGCAGTGCCCTGCTTTACCAAGACTTCCTGCTTTTGCAAGCATCGAATAGCTCTCTCCTCCGTCCTAATTAGAACATAAAATTTGCGATCCAACATCTTGAATGCCTGGTTGGTACCAAGTCCAAGCAAGTAAATTGGTTACAAATTGGCTACTTCAAATTACACTGAAAGGTGAAAGGCAAGAAAAACTAATTTTCGTTTTTTATTCCCCGTTTCTTGATTTTCGCTTCCGTTTCTGACACCGTTTGAGATTTCCTGGAAGGGAGGATGGAAATAATACAGTGCTTGGAAAAACCGAAGCGACTCGAACCCTCTTGTGCCTCTAAATGCATCAATATATCAAATGAAGGAAATTTCGATGGGTCCATAGGTCGCCAATTGTCAAAAGGTTGCCACCCCTGTTCCCGAGTCCGCTGACACCTCTATGCCTTTTCGATGAATAAATAAATAAATGGCATCAAGTGGAAAAATGCTGAAACCAAATGAAATTGCCGCTAAATTTTGCTCAATTTAATTGTTGTTTGACGCAGAAACACCGTTGAACTGTTGAACATCTGGCTCCAGGGCGAGCAAAAACCGCAACTAATTTGGTCGTAATTTGCAGTCGTGCATTCGGTTTCACTGCTGTCAGGTTGGATTTGGCCCATGCTGTTCCGATGGCACGGTCTGCACCGGGTTGGTACGATGGCCGAGGAAAAACGTGAAAATGAATTTTAAAAGAGACAGTTGAGGTTTCTTGCAACTGAGGATGAACACACTCGGTTATATATCTTTCCTATTCGCTTGATTTCGTTTGTTATTATTATTATTATTAATTTTTTTTTTGCTGCGATTTGAAAGACTGGAAGGTGGACTGAGAAAAGTGCGGTAATGAGAAATAATTTCCACAAAATTCCCTCCACCTAATTTTTCTGCATTGCACCGATACTAAATCGACAGCATGGGACATAAATATTCACACCAAATCGAAGTCTCGTATTTCCTGCACTAATAACTTCTCATGGAATCGGTCGAACCTCAACAACACACAAGGGCTCACAGTAACTATTAACTATTCTAGTATTAACTAAACTAGTAACTATTCACAGTAACTATTGTCCGACGTGTCCCCGTTCATCTTGACGGCAACCTGGAACCTTCGAGTCGGTCGGTCGATCGCACCCGACGGGCGTGGTTTCGCTCTTCCGGCGCGAAACCCTGACTGGTTCGGGTCGCTGGATTTCGATTATGGGCACTTGCTTTCAGCTGGCTTCGCATGCAGTGATCGGTTTGGTTACGGTCGGAGTTGTATGGGGGTCGTGGTCAGCCAGACGGTTTTTTTAACGTGATGCCATTTATAGGCGGAGAAGGATTCGTGTTGAAACAGCCATGGTTCACCACCAAAGGGACACTCACATAGAGATAGAAAACTTTTTTTATTTGCTGTTTTTAGGCGTACAGAAAAAGAAAAGTTACAAGCGGTGATGAATATTCATGGCCCATCCTGTTGACTAAGTAAGGGATCCACTATCACGCATCATCTGATGCTAGGTGGCTTTGCAAAACTTCATTTTGATACATTTAAATGATAGATGTAACATTTGATTTATCTGATTTATGTTAATTATTAAATTTGATTTCAATTGATCACTTCTTGAATTCCCATTTTGGATGATTTTTGCGTTAGTAACGCTGGAAAACTCTCCTAGCCATTAAAATTTTTATCAACAAATGTAATTTGGCACGAAGAAAGGTGACGGTTGACGCCTTCTTTCTTCAAAATATGGGAAGCTCAACGCCAAGCCAAATCGGACTGGATCGGAATGGAAGCAGCAGAATGATAATGGCCGTTTAAGTCACGTTACGTCAGTAACAGGAAGTGAATATCCTCAATTTTCTTCCTCCATGGGAAAAATGAGATATTTTCGGCTAGAATAAGCGCAAGTATTGTTGGTGTTAAATAGGGTTCCCACCCGTTCATAATTAGTATGGACAGTACTTATTTCAGATAAGTCCGTAAAACTCTCTTTTTTTTTTTTTTTACAGCAAACTTGTCTTAGTAGGGACACTGCTTCATCCATGCATTAAACTAGCTGAGATTTTTTTAGTTAATAAAGCTTAATAGCAGCTAAAATCACTCTTTTCTACAAGTCAGAGTAGTAGCCCACAATCGAATAGCATCAATTGGTACTTTGACTGAAAGTAGGTATTAAAAGTGTGGATGGGAAAGTCACACACGCAAGTATACTTCGAATATTTGTCAATATTTCCATATGTTCACAGTCCATGTGTCCACATTTTGTTAATTTCAAAGGTTAAGTGTTAAGGTACTAGTGTTAAGGTAGTTTTCGAGTAGAATTTCTGGGCCGAACCTCATTCAAGTTTCAAAGTATGCCTTCATACTTGTTTCATTTGAGCCAGTGTTACATCAGTAACTGAAACCGCCCGAGACAGTTCGGGAACATTCTGGATCGCCCGCATCATGGACGACGCGCGTGAATCAGCGAGAAAACTTGCAAGTCACAGCACGTGATGGTGAATCGATGGCGATTGAATGCGGGGCTGCACGGAGACGGGATGGCGCATGCGCGATGGTGCATGTCACTTCCACGTGATCGTGTTTTTCTGCTGCGTCATTGTCTGCAGTAGAGGAGTGTGCGTTGGGGATTGCATCAGTCGAGGTTTTTCGCTGCGGCGCTGCTTGTCGCTTCTTGTTTCGGGGTATGACTGGCACGATTGACCAGGGGTTCTGGAACGTTCCAGCGTATTCCAGAAGTTTATATCGTTTGCGTGCCGGTGCATGACAGGGTAAGAGCCCTTATAAAAACTTCGCGAACGAGCATCTCACTCAGTTGGTGTCAGTGGTACACTCTTCGGTCTACGCTTCGTGCTTCACTCTTGGCTGGTTTGTGTTTGGTTCTCGTGTTTCACTCGGTTTGTCTCTCTCCCTGCTCTTCTGTGTTTATTTCGTGACTTTCCTGGACGTTTAGACCGAGGCAGTGACTTTGGCCTCGGCCTTAGCATATCCTACCCTTGTTGATTCTTTACGGTAGGATCATTGTACAAGTATTTTCTTTCAAGATTCATATTGCCTTGCTTGAAGTTATTGATGTGCTAGGTTCAAACCTAGGTTTATGCATAAGATGTTGGAAAACATTGGTTGAAGTAGGTTTGGTGAACTTGAATTATTCATGTATCATCTGTTTTCATATGGATACACCAGCCAATACTATTCTCTTGTTCTCAGCTGTTTCCATATCTTTCATATTTCACTAGGTTTCAAAAGTGAAAAGCCTATACTTGAATTTGAGAGCTAAGAAAGAATGGAACAAGGAAAGTCATTGGGCGTGAAGGCATTTTTGAAGAGAAGTGGAGAGACAACTGAAGTTCGTAGATTCACAGTTGACCAGGATGTTGCTGCCAACTATGTATATTTGCAAGGAAAGGTTCGGGCTGTGTTCCCCTGCCTGCAACGCTCTGATTTCACTGTGACATGGATTGGTGAGTTATCCTAGGCCTACCCATGCGTCTTTACATAGGCCTGAGCTCACTCACTCATGATTGTGGTTCTTCATCACAGACAAAGAAGGAGATGACATCACTATTTCCTGTGATGAGGAACTCCAAGAGGCCATCATGGAGACCATGAATGTGGGAGGGTCAGAATTCTTCAAGCTGAATGTTCATGCAGATGCAAAACCCACTCAAACCAAAGANCAAGTTGCTTATCAATTGTGGCATGTTGATGTTTTTGCTATTATTTCAGCTGAAGGTGATGGAGGTGCTCGACCAAAGACCCCTCCTGGTGCATCTGCTGATCCTCAGCCGAGCATCAGTGCCACAGACTCGACTATTTATCCCAGTCTTTCTGGGATCCCATTGCAGCCATCCCACCCCAGTAAGTATTGCATCTGAGTCAGCTACAGAGATTTGAACATTCTTGTTGTCATCATTGAGGTCTTTATTTGCAGATCCAAAGGTAGCCCACAGTCTTGGTCTGATGTTGATGATGGGATTCACCAACGAAGGTGGCTGGCTCACTCGACTGCTAGAAGAGAAAGATGGAGACATTGGCAAGGTTTTGGATGTCATTCAACCCTTCAAGAGGACTCCTGCTCCTCTCATGTCTTTTGATTAGATTGGCTTGGATGTGTATTGTATATTGAAATGGATGACACCTTATCCCATGTACACTCCATCTTTTATCTTTCACTTTGTGAATGTGTGTGATAGAAGTCTGTGATTGAATGAATCATGAATAATTTCTTATTTCAGGTTTTTTTAAAAGTTTTTTTGTTTTTCTTTATAGATTCCCACTGGCACATATCAGGATATGTTCCAGTTTATATAAAATGTTGCACACTGTCTTCTTGTGGACCTGTAATCTCAACTTGTCTACTTGTATTTTACTGGGGAAATGACATTGTAGAAGGAATAAAGATGGTGAAAGATGCAGGACAAACCCTGAATATTTTTTTTGCTGTCAGCCTACTCAGGATGACAGATTGGAAGCAAAAAGCATAATTAAGGAGTTAAATTTGCTCTCAAACTTGAAATTCCATCAGAAGTGCTTCCTCTGGATGCCAACCTTCAGAAGCCTCCCAAGACTTTCAATAAGGTGAAGGTGTGAGGAGTCTGGCATTCAGTCAGCAAGCTACAGCTCTCCATTAGTTCCGGAAAACTAGACTCGATGGCAAAATAAAGTACGACCTAGGAGTTCAGCGATCTTGAGTTTAGTATAAGGGTGTGAGATGAATACTCACAGAGAAAAATGGCCAAACAATCCAATTTCAATAGCGGCAATGGGGTTATACTAGTCGTCCGATAGGTGGGTTTGCTGATGAAACGTGGCAGGAATATCCTTGAAGTGCAGGAAAATCGCGCAAAACTTCGACGTCATGAGATGAGGTAATACAGAGAAAACTTTCCAAACACCAGAGGTATCGGGGATGATGCTAGTTTCCGTTTTTCTTTCCTTCAAGCCGCTTCGCTTGAGGTACGAGGCAGTGACAAGATGGTATGTCTGAAGGCGATTTCGATCAGTTGGAAGAGTTTCATCGATGTAGGGTGAGTGGGAGGCATGTATCAGCCTGATGCATGGTAAGCATCCTAATTACTCTACATCGATGAAACGGTAACAACTTATTGAAATCGCCTTCAGAGATTTAAGGGAAGTCTGGATCGCAAAATTGGTATGAGGGCAAAAAAGTGTAATCGGTTCTAGTGAACTTGAGGGTCTCCGGTATGAGCATCACTGGGTCTGCCCTCATCTCCGCAGATCCCCATCCCTCTCATTCGTCTCCAATGGGAAGGAGCAAAAGTGATGCAATGCCTGGTCCCCTTCCCAGCCCAGCACGCGGCCACCGTAACGCCATAGACGGCTTTGCCATTTGTCCTTTCCATAACCAAATGTTGGCAGTCCTAACAAGGAGAAGGCTGGGTTTGTGATACGATGCTCGAGTGTTCTTAAGGATATCAGATTCGCGTTCCACGAAACCACGGACATTGGCTCACGGAAGCCCAAGCAACGTCAATGCGACGCTGCCGCCACGTCATTTGGCTAAAGTCGCATGTTACTGGGGATCCCCGACCCGCTCTCGCTGTCGAACAGGAAATGATCTCTCCCGCATCCAGCTGCACCAAACATTCCTATACGTATTCCTAGGGGAGAATGGTCTTTTCAGTCAGGTCGTTTTTCTTCCTCTTCCTGCTCAGACCCTAACGAAAGCATTTCATGTCGGCTTAAACATAGGCCGTGTGTTTTTCTCCAGCCGCTTACAGCTTCTGGCAAAAAAAGAAAAGTGAACCCTTTTCTGTCAGTGCTCGACACGACCATCAAATGACGTCACTTTCGGGCAACCAATAGGTCACAGCGAACAGAGAGCTTTAATCAACCCAGCACAAATGTGACGTCATGAGGCTCCGTAAGCGTCAGCCGCTTAGAAAAAAGGATATGGAACCCATTCGTTCGTTTGGTTTTGAGCGTGGGTTTTCAAACCTGGGGGTTATCAGCGACCCCAGTAACCGTCCAATCATTTGTTTTGCTTCGGGTTCCTTCACAGACTGGTGAAAGCTTATAAACCTCCCCAAAATCTGAGCCAATTTTACTTTTTAGAGCGCACGTGCCAAACACGAGCTTAATATGCCAAGCTTTAGCTTGTTTGCACCCTGACTTGTTTTTGGAACACAAATGTGCGACTCCCACCCCAAAAAAAACACACACACACAGATTTCCCATTTTTAGCGATGAAAGAGCTACTATTCCCGACCAGAGACGAGGAAACCGGACAACATTTAAAGCAGGAAAAAAAAACTCATCGAAATGGATGCATCTGAGTCACCTGTAGGAGCAAACGAGAACTAGCAGAACGAGAAGAAATTGGTTCAAGTTGCGTTAACCCAAAGCGAAATTCGAGTTGCGAAATAATTCTTCAGTGTTTTGCGAATGAATTTGTACCACCTTTAACATGGGGCCCATGCTTTTCTATGGAGGAATCCACTCAACCTGGATGGCGGCGGTGGATTGGAGAACGTTGCGGCCAAGAATAAAGCATAAAGGGAATTGTTTTTGCCTTTCGCGAGGAAAATGATGGGTTGGAATAACAAAGGGTTTACCAGAAGGTTCAGGAAGAGGTGGAATGGCAAATCGCACCAGGGAAATTTTAAGAGAAGCGATCAAGTGTTCGTAGAAGGGAGGAAGCATACAGAAGCCGAATACAAGGAAGAGTAGCTATGGAACAATGTATCAGGCTTTAGGCCACGTATTCCATCGCACCTACAGATTGTTGAGGATTCTACTTAATGTGAAAATGAATATGAAATCAAGGACGTCGACGGCCAGGGGCCTATTCCACAGAAGATTTACAAGTTACAAGCTACAAGTTACAAGTAGTTGCAAGGGTCATGCCTTGATCGCGTGAAGTGTCAACGGGACCAACTAGAAGAGTTGAAAAAGAAGACACGACCCTTGCAACTACTTGTAACTTGTAGCTTGTAACTAGTAACTCTTTTGTGGAATAGGCCCCAGAGCTATCTTCAAATACACAGCCCAACGTAGACTCGAAGTAGGTCGATTATTTGACATCCAGACCTCGGGACATGAGAGTGAATGACTGCCAAACCTGTTCTTGACAACGATCTCCGTCTCAACTGCTCCTCTATCCTTTCATACGGGCCGAACGACGCCATCTTTGCTATACGGCAGCCCCCGAGAGACTGACTGACGCGATGTGGAGCTATGAAGCGGGAGGGAGACATCTATCCTCCGGAATGGAAACAATAGTTGGACCTCCTCTGCCACCGCATTCGATGCTCCATTGAATTGACATGCGCAATGTTAAAGATGGTACGAACTCATTTGCAAATCACTGTATTTATATGGTAGTTAACGAGAGGAATACGTTAGGTGACGATATAGTTAAAGAAGTAGAGGTTCCTTACTACTATCTTTGCTACGAGATATTACTGTAAAAATCAATTTCAATTGAAGGCGATGACTTTGAGAGACGTGGGACAGCGTTAGGAATGCCTTGAGGATGTCCGATGCGTCGGGACCTCCTTCTTCGACAGTGATGCTCAAACTCGCCGAGATGCAAGTACCCTCGGTAGTTGTGGGATTGGAATCCCAACCACGCGGTTCCTGTTTACGCTGTCTTCAATGAACAAGCTCAGTAAAGATTATTTGGTTACTTGTCTCTCACATAACGAATTCTCAATTTTAAGTTAAGGTCCAGACGAGTGGCACCTGGGAAAAGAGTAATTGGTGTTTCCTGCTGGTTCAAAAAGCTCGAGCATCACTGCTCCACTACGTCTTCACCTGCTTGCGGCATTGTCCTCGACGTGCCCTCATCCCCGTTCACGTCTAAGAGCGACATCTTGCGCAGGGCGTCTGGTTCAAGTTTTGCAGCGAAACCAGTCGTAAACAAACGTCGGAGAAATTGGCGTCGAACAGCTTCCGCATGAGGATTTCCTCGCGACAATCGGAATCGGCCGTCGAGGTCCCTCATACGGACTGCCGCAGTGCATGCGGAAAGTCCATCTCCTCTTATTCCCATTTCTTATCTATATTCCCCATTTTTATCTCTATTTCCTCATTCTCCTCGCTTTTGCGATCGCCACTCTTCCGTTTGCTGCACTCTTAATGTGCCTGACAGAACGCAGGAAGCGAATTGGCCGAAGAGGAAAAAAGTTTCATTGTCGAAGTGTCACGTGACCTCAAGATGCTGCCATTTTGCAGGCTCTCAAAGCTAGCAGTATTGTACTGGTTCAAATTAAGTAACCTAATTGTGCGGAAAGGGCTACAATAAATAACATTTATTTTTGATAGTAGTTAACATATTTCTGATGAAGCGGAGTTGAATACTGATGTATAGATGTGTTTCTGTACAAAATGCCCGAAAATCATTTAGAATCTGTAAAGGTAATATTATAGCAAAATATGTGACATATATATAATTTAACTTGGTAATATTTGACGATTAATGTTATGTTTATGAAACCGAGGACAAATCGGAAAAATGAGAGTTCCTTAGGCCATGTATCACATATGATGCGCTTCGAAAGAAAATTCAGATAGCCCCAAAAGTATGAATCAGGGCAGATTCTAATGTGCAGTTCTGAAATATTTGTGCGGCTGAAGAAGAAGAAATGTCATGCCGAACACTGTTCGACATTCGCAGAACAATGTTTAATTGACTGTTTACAATCGTATGACCTGTGTCTATTCTCGGCGAAAAGCGAATTCTCATCCCAGACGATAATGAATATATAATAATGATAATGAAAAATGTTAGGAAACCTTCCTTCTTTCTTGGAGCATTTTGTATATGGAAATTCCCACGAAGCCAACGGAGAGCAACTTTCTTGAGCAAGATCGTCCGCTGGCGGGTGTTGGAAGCCGTTTTCAAAAGTTTTTGGTATTTTGCACTTGCATCGTGCTTCACGCAAGGCCAGAAATCAATGAACCTACTGGGTCTTTCCAGCTTTTCCTCTCTCGTGGGGCAACCAGAATTTCGTGTTTTTTTTTTTTAAATTCATTTGCCGGAAAGACGGGATCCGGATGTTGCTTCGTGTGGCGATTCCCGAACCTGGCACGAGGGCGAGCCGAAAGCAGTGAAGGAAGGAGCGGCAGACTGCCTTTCGGGCACTGGCTCCGTAGGGTGCAGCGGTGCAAAGAGCACAAAGCTTCCAAGAGTTCCCCTCGTGAAAATGGTGGAATCTCTCGAAACTTCCGTCTCGTCCGGAAACTTTCCGAGTGCCCCTCGTACGAATGAGCAAGGGCTTGTCTCGGTTCTCATGCAATAAAGTGCATGCCTTATGGTGAGAAAATGCTTGATAAGATTTGGACCGATTTCGTCCCTCGGCGAGTCGAAGAGCCAGCCCTTGATAATGGGTCGGCTTAACCGAAAGGTGAGTGCGGATGATCACGGAGTTCCCCAAGTGTTCCTCGTCGCAGTTTTCTTCTCTCTGTCACATTGGGCACTGTGCACAAGAAACCGGTACATCTTACTGTGCGCAATGACACATTATTGTGCACATTAGTCAATTAGGGAGTCGCATGTTGTTCGGTTGCTCGAAGGCAGCATGTTGCTCGAAGGCATCAGCTGCGACGTAACCAATGGGTATCTCAGCGGCCGTTCATTTTTTCATCTTCCTCGGATCCTCTTGCTTATTTTTGCTTCTCGTCGCAGGCATGGAAAATCGCCGGCATCGTTCACTTCCGACTATATTCTCGTGAGTGCTTCGGTACCGTGCTCGCAAAGATGCCTCGCGTCTCGTCTCATGGCACCCTCGATGACACCCTCATCACGAGGGTGAGGTCGTAAAGTCACGAGACCTCGTCGAATGCCGAATGAAGTCGATTCGCGCGGAACAGCCGATCCTGGAAGGAGAATTTGAACCACGCACGCGATTTTCAACTGCTTAGGTCAGCTGGTGCCAAGGAATTCGGATTCCAGTGGTTGGGCCGCTGGGGCCGCCTCGCTTCGCCCGACTCACCTCATCGTTGGTGCCGTTGGCTCCAACTCTTCCATTGACCAATTTTTTCAAAAGACGTCTCATTCATTATGCGCGGAAAGAGTTGCCTATGATACAACCGCACTCCACCCTCTCTCGGGCAACCCTGTCAAGGGCAACCCTCTCTTGGGCAAGCCTGTCAACTCTGCACGATAGCGATGTTGACCCTACTATCATCCGACTCGATTTTCTCGCATTCGGAAAAACTTTATTGAAATGGATTTCACCTCTCCTTCGAAAGGTGTCGCGAACATTCCGATGCCAAGCCCTGTCGTGACAATAGGAGAACACAAGGCGAAGGAAAAAAGAATTTTCATGCAGAATATATCTGAAATCTCCGTATCACCTGATATTTCATGCAAAAAAAAAAAGGAAGTGCCTGGGCCTACTTGAATTCACTTTCAGTTTTTCTTTTGGGGGAAGTGTCTTCTCGCAATAGGTTGCTCCTTCCTCCTCGCCTCCGGAATTCTCCTCAGGTAAGCCTCTTGCCTTCATCTCGGTAGGATAGCTTTGCACTAATGACCATAAATCTGAATCGAACCCTGTGAATGGAATTTCTTCACGAACGAACATGCATTAGCATGTCGAATGCATTAGCATTTGCGATCGTGCAATAGCGATCGAACTTGAAACCAACCGACTAGAAATTGAAAAGCATGGGTGTGTCGTTTTAAGAAGGAAAATCCTACGTGTTTCCAGGCAGCCGCTTTCTTGGGGTCCGATCGGTCTGCTCTCGCCGTCTTCGTCCTGGAAAAGATGGAGAGAGATGGGCCTGAACGAGACTTGTCTGTCGGCCGTGACCCGATCGGACGAATCCCTTCTTGGCGCCTGCACCCCCTCCGACTCCGTCTTCTTCTTCAAGACCCACAAGACCGCGAGCAGCAGCGTCCAGAACATCGTCTACCGCTACGGCTACGGCCGCGGCCTCGCCTTCCTCCTCCCGGACGGCGCGGGTCACCCGACCAACTACTTCGGGCACCCGCGGCCCTTCGACCCGTCGATGGTGCTCGAGCAGTACTCGATGGGGCGAGACGTGTACGACGCGTACGCGGAACACGCGAGGCTCAACGTCAGCGGATTCAAGGCGGTCGTGAATCCCGATGCCGTCTGGTTCACCGTTCTCAGGGATCCGGCTGAGGCTTTCGACAGCATGTATCACTACCACGGCATCTCGAACAAGTAGGTTTCTTCGGCGTCGATTGTCGATTGAGTGTTGATTGTCGATGTGCCTGTTCTGAACTTAACTTGGAAACGATCTTCTCCGTTCCGTGACCATTGGGTGTCGTCACAGATTCCCTTCGTTAGGACCGCAAGCATAACGCAGAAATAAGGTTTCGGCCTACGTATCCGTACAAGAGCACTGCTACTCTCAAGTAACGAAACCAAAATACTAGATATCCGTAGGAACTACCTGAGTGACGAGGTTCATGTCATCCTTCCATATTCGGTGAGATGAAACAAGGTCACAAAAAATCTAATTCGCTTTGAAACCGTGAGGAAATCAACTGAAATTCTAGCAGAACGGCGAGTCGAAAGAAAGTCGTACAGTATGTGTTGCTGTTCTGCTTGAGTGTCAAAAGCGAAGAGGAAGGTTGAACGTGTCGCTGTGATGGATGTCAGATATTATGGAAAAGCATGTTAGACATAAAGAAAATCAAATGACAGGTACCCAAGGAACATTCCGTTATATTCTCATTTTTTATGTCTGATCGGCATTTCTGGGTTGGAAATCTGAAGACATGCCACCCTTTTAAATCAATAAATACCGGCAGCCGAGATAGCTCAGTTGGGAGAGCGTTAGACTGAAGATCTAAAGGTCCCTGGTTCGATCCCGGGTCTCGGCGATAGCTTCTTTTTCCTTCCTCTCTCTCCCTTTCACAGCCTTTATTTCTTTTGCTATCCTGCATATAAGAAGAAAAAAAATTCCGAGTTTCCTACCCTCTGACGCTCTCACTCATGCAATCATTCCCCTCTCGCTCTCAATCTCCATCTTACTATAGGTTTTCTATGTCAAATAAGAAAGTCAAAAGCGATAAGGAAATTCGAATGCGTCGCTGTGCTGCTTGGGAGCGTCAAAAGTGATATTAAGGAATGTCAAATACGTTGCTGTTGTGGATGTCGGAATTTAGTCAAATCAAATGCGACAGGTACACACATAACACCATTTCCATGTTAAGGGAATGCCTACCCGTTGCATTTCCACAACGTGCAGATTCAGGTGTATTTGCATATAGTGTACCGTACCAAGTACTAACAAGTACTTGGATTCAGTTTCTCGAAAACGATATGGTCGATTCCAAAATCCCAAGGTCATTCCACAGAGATGGTCGCTACTGTTACGGATTCGCAAGCGAATGTTAAAGAATTGGGCGCATTTTCATAGTAGTCGTGCCAAAAGCTTGCGACGTAGAGGCCCATTATGGTTTACTTGAACTTCCATGAGATGGCAGACGTGTCCCAAGCACCCGAACGTGAAGAACATGAAGTGAGCTCCAACATCTTCGACCCCAATTGGCCCGCTTCCTAGAATATCTTTGATTTAAAGGGATGTTCCTTTGAGACCGGTTCAGAGGCCTCCCTTCCTTCCCCTCCCCTCTTGAACAAAACAATATGGGCAAGTCCTGTCCAATAGTGGGCTTCCTTTCATTCAAGTAGACCCGCATTTTGTCACCTAATTGAACAAAATGCTATCTCTTTCGGGTCCCCATCCATCAAAAACATTATGATTCAGTTACGTTTGAAAATCTACCCGTGGTGGCGAAATGGAGATGCGTTGGAATGGATGGAGGGTTGTGCGTGCTTGGAACCATCCGCCACAAAGGTTGGTAGGGAACTGACAGCTCTGGATGCTGACACGACACCGCGCCCAAGACATGGATAGTACGCACATGCGCATTGTGATCCATATTCTGAAGGGCGAAAGGGTATAAGTGCCTTCCCCTCCGTGACTGAATTTCAAACCCAAAAATTGTAATTAAAATGCCTATTTTGGTGCGAATCCGCTATGAAACGAACTCAGTCCATATCTTGTTAATACGAGCTATCAACTTGCTAGCCAAATTTCGCATTTGTCAGGCCAATATTTTCTTATTCATCGTCGGACAATCAACGTGAGACGCACAGACGGATAGGACGGGACCATTAGTATTCTTTTGCCTTTTAGGAAGGGAAGCCCACTAAAAAGACAGACGTTGAAATTGTGATATATAGAACAATTTGCGCGGAGGTCTTCAATACAGATACTCATATCCGCAAGATAACCAAAAAAAGACACAAGAAAGTGACAGCGCACACAGAACAATGACATCCCTGGGATGTCCCTTTACTGGACGACTTGTCTCAAGGTCGTTATGGACATCCTTCGACGTCTCCAGTCGAACGCTTTTCGATATTTTGGGACGAATGTCTTCAGGACATCTTACATTTTAAAGACATTTTCAGTCGTGTTTATCACCTTCAGTCAAGTGCATAACTTTCACAGTGGATGCTTCCCACGTGCCCTGATTTCCAACCTCAGATATCTTCCATCAATTTTATTAACTTGATTTGTGGAGAGGAAGGAATGATTTTCGTACTTACATAAAAAAATTTGCCACAGAGGAAAGGGATAAATTTGAGGTTCTAATATTTATTAATTTCGTTATATTCTCATTAATGATGTCGGATCGGCATGTCTTGGTTGGGAATCCGAACACATGCTTCAGCTTTTAAGGGTTAGATAAGGACAGCCGAGATAGCTCAGTTGGGAGAGCGTTAGACTGAAGATCTAAAGGTCCCTGGTTCGATCCCGGGTCTCGGCGAGGTTTTCTTTTCCTTACTTTCTCTCTCCCCTTTCTCTTTCATAGCCTTTCTTTTGCTATCCTGGATATAAGGGGAAAAAATTCCCACGGTTTTCTGCCCACGGAACGCTCTCATCTCAATAAAAACCTGAACTCCACCATCCATACTAATTCTACCAACATTCCACTAATGAACCTCCTCCTCTGTCGCCAGGTCGCCTAAGGAGGCCCCTCTGGCCAGTTGGCACAACAAACATATTTGTTCTCTTGGAGCGTCTGAACTTAAATCACTTCTGATAGGCTGCAAGTATATATTAACTTGCGGCATGCGGGCGATACGCTGGCCGTCTAATGGGCGGAAAATTGAAAATATTTATATGAAGATATCAAGCAGTTCTGTACAAACCAAACATGATACATTTTCAAAAGAAAACCTCGAGAAGTTCGAATGTTAATTTTATTATAATCGAGACAACATCTCACAAATAAATCACGAATGAAGGAATGAATCATGAATGGAAAAGACCATTTCAAATGCGAAAAGTGACAAATGAGTGAAAATAATTTACTATCGAAGATTTCATGGTCTAGCCTACGGCCTAGAACGGCAGAGCATCGTAGGCCTCGCGCGTTAGGAGTGAGAGCTCACGCAACTTTTGGCCTCTTTCAGGTTTTAGGTAAAAGCAATGCACGCAGACGTAAATGTGAAATGGCTAGGAACCGACACCTTTCGTTCTTCTGTTCCAGGTGAATCTATGTTAAATGCCACGCAAAAAACTAACATTCATGAATGTAAGTTAGTTTTTTTTCCCGCACCATATACGTGGGACTCCTTTCCATGTCTTTTTACCTGGCAGTGTGAATCCCAAAGCAACTGCACGAGTAAACCAGATAGCCTTATACATATTTGACTTCTTGCAGACGGAAGCGTAGTTAGGTGCTAACGTTAGGTTAGGTTCATGATTGGCAGAATCCGCTCACCCGACGTTCAAAGGTTCAACTGAAGGCAATCTTTTTATGATTATTATGAGACAGGACATGTGACAGACATCCACGAGAAAGAACGTATTTTTTTACATGACACAGAGGAAGGGGGTGCCCGTTTGGCATGAGCACCACAGCTCTACCACAATCCCTTAGGCTGGGACACCCCTCTACGGTCCTGTAGAAAGCCTAAGGGGCAGTTCACGGATTTCCCATGCCATGACTGGCACGAGTGGTTTTTAGTATGTACTACACCCGTATCTCCTAGACGTGGCACACAGAGTGACATTTTTGTTATCCCACGCTAAGCAGTCACTCC